CCTTTCTAAATTCTAGTTTGATCCTATTACATGTTACTGGAAATTTATCCAAAGCCTAAGTACTCTTTCACGTAACATTAGAAGTTGTTTGTTCTGTTCATTTGTGCTGTAAGTGTATATTAAAGATCTCCAAAATACAGCCACTTATTTATTCAATTGATCTTTAAAGTGATCTTTAAAAGACTTGCTTACAATGACTTTTAAAAGAGATAATTACTAAATTACTTTGTTTTGCCAATTCATATAGGGAACCTTGATAAGTATCCAAAGCTGGCATTCAAGTCCATTCCCAACCAGTACATTTTTCTGAAGAACTCTGTTTTTTCAAACTAAAGGGGTCTGAAATACAGAGACTTCATAAAGATTCTGGCATAAAGCAACTTACTCTTTTCTGAGGAATAATTTTTTTTTAATTCTTTTATCTTGGACTCAATTTAGGGATATATATATATATATATATATATATTTTAAGCTTATTCATTTTTCAGAGAGAGAAAAAGAGAGTGTGAGTGGGGGAGGGGCAGAGAGAGAGGGAGACACAGAATCTGAAGCAGGCTCCAGGCTCCAAGCTATCAGTACAGTGCCCGACGCAGGGCTCAAACTCAGGAGCCCAGCCGTGAGATCATGACCTGAGCCTAAGTTGGATTCTTAACCAACTGAGCCACCGGGGCGCCCCTCTGAGGAATAATTTTGAGGACAGATCTGGCTTTATATTGGGGCAGTCATGATAGGTGCAGAGCCCGCAAAGGTAAGGAGGCTGAAATGCAGACCAAATGTAAAACTACTTAGGAGAAAGTTTAACTGAATGGCAGCAAGGTTCATGGCATAAGACATGAAGGTGTGCTATAGAAAAGAAAAAAAAACTGTTCTTGACAGGTTGGAAAAAGTTGAATCTAAAAAGATGTAACTTACTATATGGACAAACTTAAAGTCTATAACCTAGATTTCACAATATAATTGCCTAGGTACAGAAAAAAAAGAAAATCTGTTATAAACTCAGTACAGACAGGCAGAAAGATAGACAATTTCTCACAAACTTTGGAGGCTAGGTTTAAGACCATTTAGCGCAATTTGCAGGTCGTAGTGCCAAAGAAAAATGCAGGGCTGCTTAAAAATTAAGCGTTTTAAGACAGCAAGAACAGAGCATTAATCTTTTGAAGCATGACTCCCTGGGTGACTGCATAGACCCTGCAACCGTGAAGTTGGCCCTGCACTGGCTATTATTTTAAAGAGGACTTATTCAGAGAGGACTCCTATCTACCTGCTCAGCACAAAAACTTCAGCACAAGCACAGAGCCTGGAACAAAAGAGCACTCAGTGGGTACAGATATCTGTTGAATGAAAGAACGGTCCAGAAGAAAGAGTGGTGAGCCTGTACACATCTCCTTACTAAATAAAAAATAGCACTCTGTCATCAAAAGAGAACAGACTTTAATCGTAAGACATATTTTCAGTATTTAAAGAATATTATGACTTGAAGAGGATCTACTCCCTCAAACTTGATTTTAAAAAATAAAGTCATTAGAAAACCCTAAATACCCAAATTAGGCAAAGTTCTTCCATTGACTTTGTAAAACAGTTTCACATCAAAAGGTAAACAGTTGCATTGAAATCAAAGTAAATAATTAAAGTTTCTTAATGCCCCAAAATAGATTCCATGACCCACTGTAAACCCAGAAAATGAACAAAACCGAAAATCTGTGAATAATGGTACAAATTAAATCAATGTTGATATTCTATCTATATCTCTGCACAAGTTGTTTCATTTATGTGGAAAAGCCTACAAGTTAACTCTTTAAGAACTTGCTCTGGTTTTGTACAAATTTACAAAAATAAAACCTAATTATGGAAACATCAAACAAACAGGATGAGCTGTTTTTTAAGATGTGAATGAAATATTTACATCTTTCCATAAATTCTGTTTTATGGAAACACTATAACAGTGAATCTGACTTGCATTAAAGAAACTGCATTTAAAATCTAAAACAAAAATCAGCAAATGTTCTTTCGGATGAAAATGAGGAAAATAATTGGAACGTGAAAAAATTGTGATTTAAATATGGATACCCAGGGTTGTCAGTTTGTGACATAATTAATATGTCATGCTTGAAGTAATATAAAATAATACTTAGTTATTCAGAAATAACTACTATCTTTAATATAGAATCTTCCATTATGAATGGCACACTAAAAAAGAGGGTCTGGTCCCACAAGTAAATAAGTTGGAGAAACATTGTATACTATACCTTCGTATGGTATATTCATAATTACTTCAGCATATTACCAGTTCTGAGTGGCCCTGCAGTAAAGTTAGGTGTTTACCTTTGTTTAACCTTTGTTAGAATGTCCCAAACTTATTTGAACTTGGTACCTATTTTTATGTAAGGGGAAAGGGTGGCTTATTTACTTGTTTTATTTTTCACATAAAATTACAAACACTTTGAAACGGTAGTTTCTGGAGTTTACTTTGAGAATTGTAGCTCTATACCGATCAAACATGAACAAACAGGAATATTGACTGTGCTTGCATTTAGTATTCAGGAGTTTTCATAATTTATTTTACAGTTACATTTTATCCATTTCTGCAAAGGTAATGTTTATGCAAATGTACTGCCTGAACTTGGGAAGTTGATGCTCTTGCCCTTCTGGCTCTGCCTTATACCACACTTTGACTTTTGTGTCTGGTGCAGGACATTGGCTGACTGTAGTGTAATACAAGTTATCAACCTGGATAATGGGGAGGCTTGAAACTGTTCTCGAAGATGTATAATCCAAGGACTGCAGGTGATGTGGGGCACGATGGTCGCTGTGCCACATTAACCTGTTGTCTTTCGGCTCCAAACCTGCCCTTCCACATCCTACCTTGTAAATAAAGCCTGGGCTGGGACTCTGCATATTTTATTTCTCTTTAGAAATAAAAAGTTGGAGATCGGGCCAGCTGGAGTCCTGGTAGGTTTAGCCAATCAGGGGGTGAGGATGCTGGAGGGAGATAGGAAGGTGAGTGGAGTGGAGAAGGATCTCACTTGTGCCTGTTTTCTTGCCCTCAGTTGTCACCCCAGCAGTGACACTTCACCTGGCAGTAGCCTTTGTCTCCAGCAACAGTTGTTTCCAGTTTCTATCTTTTCTATACAATCAGAGTTGGTCTTACAGCACCTGCCAGATAGTGGCTCCTAAGAGATCTCTGATCCCCAGCTCTGAAGGATCTCCCCGCCAAACCAACATCCAGGGGTACCAGTTCAGCCTGTCGATATTCCCCTCCTCAGAGGTCTGATTCCCAATTTGTGGGCTCCCTCCTCAAAGCCTGTAGAGTCTGACAACCTCAGCCTCTTCGCCAACCTTATCATCATGTAGAGGAGAATGAGTTTATTTTATGAGGCCCACGAGGACAGAACTAGAAATAGTGGATTGAAGTAAGAGGTTACAATAATTAGAGGCGCCAAAAACCTGAAGGGACTGCACTGAATTCCCTATCCATTAATCACAAGGATTTGCCACAAAATTAACACATTAACGGAACATGTGTCCTTATTACTACTCCCAACACACTGTTTTACTTTTTTATTGTTGCTAGTTTGTCGACTTTCCTTGAGGGCAGCGAATGAGTTTATTTATCTTTGTATTCCCAGGACCTAGTGAGATCTGTAATAGTAAGTACCCAAAACATATGTTCTTGAGGCAACATGGCATATTAGAAAAATCACAGGATTTCCAATCAGTTTCTGGAGCGTGACCATGAGCAAGATCACGCAATTTTTCTAAATTGTATTCTTCCCAGAGAGGAGAGTTGCAGGAAGGAAGTGGCCAATGGTTTTCAGCACCCTGGGTGAGTAAGATTATTTAATTTTCCCAAGCCTAACTCTTCCAAGAGAAATCTCTGCAGCTTCTAACGCGAAGCAAATGTCATGTAATAGAAAATGCCCACTGGATTCCGTAGGAAGATCACCAGAGACCTACTTTGAAACAAGTACCAATGGGGGTTGAAGGTTGCAGTAAGCCAAATATTGCATCAGACGTAAAGAAGAGGGACGGGAATCCGATCTCATCCAGCAGCTTTTAGGATTATTTATTGTAAATAGAGGGGATGGGCAATAGTTACAATTAGCTGTTGTTCAAAGGGCTTTGGTTTATTACCTTAAATAGGGGATGAGTTGAGCCTCTTGCATTTAATTGTTTAAAGAAAACAGGCAAGATACAGATGTTAGCAAGGGGAGGGAATAATCTAGAGCAAGGTCTCTGAGGAGGCTTCTAAGATGAAAATGGCATGGGAACAAAAATGAACAGACTTGTTCGAGACAAAAACAGAAGGGCAACAACTTTTTCAATTTAATGGGGTTACAGGGAAAAAAGAATAATGTGGATACAGACAATGTCATAGACTTACAGGTGGGAAGGAATTGAGGTAGCCCCAGTCTGGGCTTTTAAAAGCAATTGGCGGCCCAGCACCATGATCAAACAGCACAGGTCCCGTTAGCAGACTCCGTGTATTTAAGTCCCAGTGCCTAACCTCGGGCAAGTTGTTTAACCTACTAATGCCTTCTTTTCCCAGATGACAATCACCATGCTCTTGTTCTCTCGGGTTGTTGCAAGAAGTTGATGATTTAAATATATATGCACTCATCTTACAGTGCTGAGCATAAGCTCTACTGAAGCTTTAGCCACTCTCAGTGTGTGAAGCAAGAGTTGTCCTACTTCTGCTGAAAGTGTCTGGAGGACAGTGGGCTCAGAGATTTCAACAGAGGAGAGACAGTTTGAAGGAACACTGCCGAGTGAAAAAAAGAAAAAGCAAGGCAAACATAAAAGAGGTGGGAAGCAGTGGTGAAGACCCAGTTTAAGTTGGAGATGATGTCTAGGCAATTGTGACAATTCTCAAATTTCCCCCTCTTTAGCCCGGTGATTGACAGGGATGAGGCTGATAGCTGGATAGACCCAAACGGAAGTCATGACGAAAGAACAACCAGGAGATGGCACTGAGAACCCCATGACAGGCCGAAGTGAAGGACCATGGAACTAAGTTAGAGGTCCACAGAAAGAGGGCAGAGTTGAGGACTAAACTCTGTTTATTGTATCATGTGCTTGTCTGAGCAAGAGTACTGGCAGAACAGGCAATTGTGGTAACCCAGCAGCCCTGATCCCACAGTGGCACTGGGGGGTGGGGGGAGGGGGCCGCAGGGGAGGACAAAGAGAATTGTGACGCGGCCGGGCGGGGCTCGGGGGTGTCGCGTGGTGTACCCCTCAGTGACTTGGTCCTGGTCAGGACCAGGGGCGCTTGCCGAGCGGGGGATGCTCCAAGGCTCAGCAGCATGTGTCTGTGCTGTAGGGCGGACGAAGCCATCCAAGTGAACCCCCTGAGTTCTCCAACACCCCAAACCCAACTTGTCTGCCCCTTTCCCGGGCCATGTGCCTGGGACACTTGAGATTACTGATCACTGGCGATTACGGCCAGTGTGGGCGCTTTGGTGCTGGGGGCTGAGAATCCCGGGTGAGGTAGACAGGCTAGATCCTGAGCCGGTTCCTGAAGGAGGAAAAGGCTCCCTTTGTGCCCACTAGAAACCAGGCACCCTCAGTCGTTTGTCCCGGAGGTGGGATGGGGCTTACAGAAGTGGGGGTGGGGCAGAATAAGTTTCTCAATATTGAGATGGGGAGGAGATTGCTTTTGGGTCTTTGGGCTAAACAACTGGAGCAAAATGAGGGGAGCGGAAGGTATTTAAAGCACAATTTAGAAATTAGTGGAAGGTGTGGGAACCCCAGAAAGTAAAGCCAAGCTTCCTGTGTCTCAGAAAACCATACTACTTGCTGGGGTTCCTTAATCATCCTGAGGACCAGCAGAAACATAATTTTCTGATTGCTCATACCTGTCTTTCCTTCCATGATAAATCGCAGTATGCTACGGGGTCTTTGTAATATGATTCAGAGCGGACTCTTTTTTCTCGTGATATTATTGCCATCTTCCACTCTGATTTTCACCTTCATGTTCTTATTCTGATCCTGCCTTTTGCAAATTGAGATAATAAGCATATATTACATAAATAAAAAGCAGTAGCATAGGCTTCCCATTATAATAACTGAATAGTTGTTTGCTCATGATTTTTATGGTTTTGTTTTAATTTTACATATTATGTAGGAAGGGCCAAGACAGCAACACCCTTCAGATGTCACCGCACGGCAGGTAATGTTTAAATAAATAACTCTGGGGACATTTGGGTGGCTCGGTTTGTTGAGTGTCCAGCTTCAGCTCAGGTCATGCTCTCATGGTTCCTGAGATGGAGCCCCACAGCAGGTTCACTGCTGTCAGTGCAGAGCCCGCTTTCAGATCCTCTGTCTCCCTCTCCCTCTGTGCCTTCCCCACTCATGCTGTCACTCTGAAAAATAAAAAATAAATAATTCTGGGTACTTCAAGATTGCGACTTTATCTTGTTCCTTTACATGCAGGGGTCTCTAATATGATAGAACTTTTACTAGCTAGATACTTCTGGGTTTTCTTTCACAGGACTGTGACTACTATTAGAGTGAGTCTTCATGAGAATAACCTAAATGCTTTGTATTCTTGGTTTTTTTAACATAATAGGAATAGAATGGCTGGATAATAGGACAAGACAATGTTTATTGTTATAAAGTAATACCGCGTAGGTTTCAAAGCAATTATACCAATTGCACTCCCACTGGAAGTGGATAAAGTTTTTATTATGCATGTACTCTGCATCCTAATACTCTTCCTCATCTTCAAAGTGTTCTAGTTGGATCCCTTAAGGTCTCTGTTACTTAAAGATGGCATAAAATGGGAACATAAAAATTTCTGCTTGGCATATGCAGTGTTTAAGGTAACTAAAGAATGTGCATAAATTTTGTTTTCTTATTTCTATAAAGGAAATTCCTTTGGGGGTTTTAATGACATTATTTTCATTTTATTGTTTTGAAGTTTTTGTTTGTTTGTTTGTTTTGAGAGAAAGAGAGAGACAGACAGAAGCAGAGAGAGAGGGTGAGAGAGAATCCTAAGAGTTGGGCACTTAACCCAACTGACTGAACCAACCTGACTGAACCAGCCCCATGTCCCAAATGAACATCACTTCAAAATAAAAGTAAACACACACACACACACACACACACACACACACACACACACACACATATGAGTCTGGGGTCCCATAGTTGGTGAAATGAATATCGAGAGTAAATAGTCTCGGGCCCCTGGGTGACTCAGTCGGTGAGCACTCGACTCTTGATTTCGGTTCAGGTCATGATCTCACAGTTTGTGAGAGAGAGCTCCACGTGAGGCTCCATGCTGACAGAGCAGGGCCTGCTTGGGATTTTCTCTCTCTCTCTCTCTCTCTCTCTCTCTGCCCCTCCTCCATTCTTCCTCTCAAAATAAATAAACTTAAAAAAGAGAGAGAGAAAGAGAGAGAGAGAGAGAGAGAGAGACGAAACAGGCTCATTTGAAAACTCTAGGGATGCCCTAGGGTGTTTTCTTCATCTAGGAACCACACATTTGAAAAATGATTTTTTTCCTACTTTTACATAGCTATGTACTGGTTGTATTTATATTTTTTACTGACATTAAAAATATACAATCAGCATGTTAACTTTTTGTTATAAAAAGTATTATTTGTTTTCCTTCCTTTTAATTTTCCAAAAGTTCAGAGATAAACATATTGAGAATATGCAAAACCTAAGGAAACAGAAGAGGAAACTTAGTAAACGGTTTACAAGACCTGCTCCTATTCCAGAACCAGGACTCCTAGTAAGTACAACATAGAGACTTCACTGAAATCAACAGCTCCTTAAATGCAAAACACATCCTTATTTTTAATTTATGCAGTACTCTAAATTTTGTGTTTCCCCTTTCCTTTGAGAAATGTGTAATAGTAGTCCGGGAAGTCACCTTAAAACTCCTCTAATCAAATTCTCATCTATTATTTAAATCAATCTCTCTCTCTCTCTCTCTCTCTCTAGCTGGGTAAAGTGTACTTTATTGATGGTACATGACAAGGTAGGGCTCTTTAAGCCCCTCTCCTTCAGGGGCTCTACGATGGATTTCAGCCCAGATTTTCAGTGTGTTGGCGGATGAGTTGGCAAGGACTCCCCGGCAGCTGAGGGCTTCTCTCTTACTCTTGTCCTCTCCCTGGGTCTGGGGGTTCTCATTCTTTGGAGGACATGTGGACCATAAGGTCTACCACCCAGATGCTGTAGCTGAATTCATTGTTGTACCAGGAAATGAGCTTTACAAAGGGGTCCCTGAGAGCAATGCCAGCCCCAGCATCAAAGGTGGAAGAGTGGCTGTCACTATTAAAGTTGCAGGAGACAACCAGGTCAGTGTAGCCCACCTTCTTGATGTCATCATATTTGACAGCTTTCCCCAGGGAGATCAGATTCATGACTGACACACTGGGAGTGTGGACATGGATCATGCCAGTGAGCTTCCCATTCAGCTCAAGGATGACCTTGCACACAGTCTTGGTGATGCCAATAGAAGCTCCTCAGCCATCATGCCACAGCTTCCCAGAGGTCCAAGGTCTTTTGGATGGCAGTTATGACATGGACTGTGGTCATAAGTCCCTCCATGACATGAAAGTTGTCATGGATGACATTGGCCCAAGGGGCCCAGCAGTTGGTGATGCAGGAGGCATTGCCAATAACCTTGAAGCAGTTGTCATACTTCTCATGGTTCACACCCATCATAAACATGGAGGCATTAGCAGAAGAGACAGATATGATGACCTTCTTGGCTCCACCCTTCAAGCACGCCCCAGCCTTCTCCATGGTAGTGAAGACACCAGTGAACTCCACAACATATTCAGCAAGAGCATCACCCCATTTGATGTTGGTGGGATCTTGCTCCTGCAAGATGGAGATGGGCTTTCCATCAATAACACATTTCAGTTCTCAGCCTTGACTGTGCCATTGCATTTGCCAGGGTAGAATCATCATACTGGAACATGTAGGACATGTAGTTGAGATCAATGAAGCAGTAATAGATGGTGATGATATCTGTTTTTTCAGAGTTAAAAGCAGCGCTGATGACCAGGAACCCATTATGTCCAAATACATTTATTTTAACCTTCACCATTATATCTCAGGGACCTAGCTGGCACTTCACAAAAAGAAGTGGCTCTCTGTCCAATGGAGAGAAGTAGAGAGCCTATTTAAATCTCCTTTGCAGATTATCTCCTGGAGATGATGGGGTTTACTGAAAAGACTAAAATCTTATATACCACATCACTCTGGTTTTCAGTTTTTGCTTTACCATATACGATCTTGACTTCCCCAAATCATTACTTAAATCTTTTGGATTGTATTATTTAGAAAATAAATTACAAAATCTTCTGCCAAATAGTTATTCAGCCTAGGCTTGATCACTTGCAACATCAGAACAATCTACACCAATTACAGCTCATTCCATTTTTGCATATATTTGATGTGGATTTATTTATTTATTTATTTATTTACTTATTTACTTACTTATTTATATATTTTTTTAGCTTTTTTTAAGTTTACTTTACTTATTTTGAGAGAGAGAGAATGGGAGGGGCAGAGAGAGAGGGAGAGAGAATTCCAAGTAGGCTCCACACTGTCAGCATGGAGCCTGGTGTGGAGCGCAAACCCACAAGATCAGGACCTGAGCTGAAATCAAGAGTTGGATGCTTAACTGACTGAGCCCCTATTCTTGACAAGAATTCAAAAGTGCTTCCACATAACATGTCATAATGCCTCCATGAGCCTTTTACATGTAGTATTAATTATATTTCTTGTACCCAGACATGAATCCGATTGCCCTCCATTTTAAAGCCCTTCAGATACTTGAGGACAACTGTTACCTTCCTTCATATTTAGGCTTTTTTTTAAGGTGAAAATCCCCATTTTCCTCATACATTCCTCTTTCAACTTAGTAGTGAGCCCTGGCCTTATTCAGGCAATCTCCAGGATTAGGATTATATTATATTTTATTATAGAAAAATTTGGGAAAAATTTTATTTCCAATAATTATGATTTTTTTCCTGTTGGTTTTCTTTTTGAAAGAAAATATTTTACAAGCACAACTAATGAATAATTATGTAAAATAGGAATTGCTAACTTTAGCTCTTTATAACAGAAACTCAACTTCAGTGGTTTAATCATATTAGAGTATATGTTGTCTCCAAAGAAGAACTCCTGACCTAGGCAGTCTACAACTGACATGCTGGCTCCAAAAATCACCAAAGAAGTCCCAGGTTCCCTCTGTCTTTATGATCCTTCAAACTTCTCATATGCTTTTTATTCTCATGGTCTCAAAAAGGCTTCCACAATGGTAGACACAGTGTCTACATTCCAAGAGAAAAAAATTATAGGACAGAGGACAAAAAGCTCATACCAGCAGTTGAGTCAACTATAATAAATTTTATCAATAAAATGAAATTACTAAATTCTAAAATAGAAAGCACCAGGCCCAGATAGGTTCCCTGGTGAACTCTACCAGACATTTAAAAGGGAAATTACACAAGTTCTCTACAATCTCTTGCAGAAAATAGAAGCACAGAGAAAACTTCCTCACTTATTATGAGAGGCCAGCATTACTTACTCTAATACCTAAACCAAAGACATTACAAGAAAAGAAATGACAGACTACTGTCTCTCAAAGCACAGATACAAAAATCTTCAATAAAATATTAACAACTTATATATATTGTTGGATTTAATTTGTTTTTATAGTTTTTAATTGTCCCACAGTTCTTAGGTATTCTATTCCCTTTTTTCCCCTCTCATCCTTTTTTCTTTTTTCTTTTAGTTTGGATAGGTTTTTTTGACATAGTGTCAAGCTCCAATTCTTTTCTCTACTGTGTCAGTCTACTGATGTGAGCCCATCAATGGCATTCTTAACGTATGCCAGTGTTTTAGATTTATAGCATTGGCTTTTAATTCTCTCTTAGAATTTTCTTTTTTTTTTCTTTACATTACTCATCTGTTTTTGCATCTTGTCCATTTTGCCAGTAGAGTCCTTAGTGTATTGATCATTTTTATTTCATTTTTAAATTCTTTTTAATGTTTTTTTTTAATTTTTTTTCAACGTTTATTTATTTTTGGGACAGAGAGAGACAGAGCATGAACAGGGGAGGGGCAGAGAGAGAGGGAGACACAGAATCGGAAACAGGCTCCAGGCTCTGAGCCATCAGCCCAGAGCCTGACGCGGGGCTCGAACTCACGGAGTGCGAGATCGTGACCTGGCTGAAGTCGGACGCTTAACCGACTGCGCCACCCAGGCGCCCCTTAATGTTTATTTTTGAGAGACAGCAAGTGGAGGAGGGGAAGAGAGAGGGGGAGAGAATCCCAAGCAGGCTACGCTGTTACAGAGCCCGATGTGGGCTCACATGAACTGTGAGATCATGACTTAAGCTGAAGTCAAGAGTTGGATGCTTAACTGAGCCACTCAGGCACCCCTGGTCATAATTATTTTAAATTCCCAACCTGATCATTCCAAAATCTCTACCATATCTGAGTCTGGATCTGATGCTTGCTTTATCTCTTCAGGCTGTTTTTTGTTTGTTTTTGTTTTTAATTTTTAGCATGCCTTATATTTTGTTGTTGTTGTTAAGGGCCAGACATGATACATTTAGTGTGAGATTTTGTGTTTATCTGGCTAGGATTTAGGCTATGTTTTCTGTGTGCTGTACCTGCAGTGTCAGAGGTGAAAATTTACTCTGGTGTCCTTATTTTTGTGTCTCCTCTTGTATTCGAGTTCCCCTGAAGACTCTTTCTAAGCAGGAACTGAGGCTTGCAGCACTTTACGTTGGACTTTTCTGATACTGTATAGGAGTCTTACTAATGTGGTGGTAAACTGTGGGGGAAAGAGAAGCCTATTATGGCCTATGATTAGGTCTCAGGCTTTTAGTGAGTCTGTGTCCTTAGAACTACTGAGCTACATTTACCCTTAAGTGAAACAGGGAGTCTATAGGGAACTGGAGTTGGGTATTTCTCTCTGCCATGTAGAAGAGTCTGGATTCAGCTATTCCCCTTCCCCAGGTCAGTGAGGGTTTAATAAAGCCCAAATTGTTTAGGTTCTGATAAAATAGTTTCCCTTGAGGGCCCTATTAAGGAGAAGAGAGAGCCCTGGAAAATTTCAAAATAGTTGCTTTTCCCCTCCTACTGCTGGATGCGAAAGGAGGTTTTCCCCTGATTATCACAGTAAGACCTGGTGGGGCTCCTGGAGGTAAAACTCAAGGAAATATGGGGGCTTCCCTAAGACTGGACCCCCACCCTGAGTTTTTAACTTTGAAGCTTATCCATACTGAGGTGCAGCAATTCGTCCATTAAAGTTTGAGTGTTCCTATTGGGACAGTGTTGGCTCCAGCAGCATCATTGGTCTCTCCAGGTTCCAGGACAGCAGTGTGTCCCATGACCTCAATTCTCTGATGGATGTAGAAGAGTTGTTGATTTTTTTTTTCTTTTTAAATTTTTTTTTCAACGTTTATTTATTTTTGGGACAGAGAGAGACAGAGCATGAATGGGGGAGGGGCAGAGAGAGAGGGAGACACAGAATCGGAAACAGGCTCCAGGCTCTGAGCCATCAGCCCAGAGCCTGACGCGGGGCTCGAACTCACGGACCGCGAGATCGTGACCTGGCTGAAGTCGGACGCTTAACCGACTGCGCCACCCAGGCGCCCCTAGAGTTGTTGATTTTCAGTTGGTTCAACTTTTTTCTAATGAGGATGGGACTGATGATTTCCAAGTTCTTTTACATGTCAGTCTGGAAACCCCCACTTATATTTCTTTTGTCCAAATGGAGTCACTGGCCACCCCTAGCTGCAAGTATGTTTAGAGTGGTGAAAAATTCAACTGGCTTCTTTGCTGCTCTGAAGAGAATCAAGACTCCATTAGTGTGGAAGAAAGTGCCTTCCTTTTTCAGGCTGTGATGGTCTTCGTTCTAAAATTCACCCTCCTCTTTAGTTTTGGACTAACTACAAATTATTAGTAACAGTTTAACCCTTCAGCATCCCCTGCCCCTTGATTTGTCTTTGCACAGTCAAAGGAGCTTTCGGTTTGCCACCTACAAATCCAGGATCCTCAACCTTACAGAGTCACTGCACTGTCTTAAATATCCACACAGCTCTTTCCTTGCTGATAGGCTAGTGTTTGTAATACCGCCACATAATCATGGCATCTTAGATATGCATTGAAATATGCTCGCACAACATTTTTTACATCGGAACAGTTATGCCTTGGGAAAGTATAATAATAAGGGATGTGAGGGAGAAGGCAGCAGTGATTCTTGCAACCACCTTTCTAGAGGGTATGGCAATTGCCACTACTTCTGAGCCTTTTAACTTTTAATTTATGTACACACATTAGTTTGGTTAATTTTTCCAACCTCATTGCCAGTTCAGATATCTCCTGCCAGGAATCTTCTCTCCTTGTGACTTGCCCCTCAACAACACACCGTTTAGGATTTCTCCATTAAAAAACTCCTTTTTTTTCCTTGAGCTGCCAGATTTATTTTATAGAAGCATCTACAAAATTGTTCTATATCAATTATCCAACCAACTTACTTGAGCTTTCAGAGACAACTAAAATGTCTCCAAGTAAATAAAAATATAGAATATAAAATGTATGACATATGAGAAGCCTGAGTTCAATCTAGTACTTATTCTCCTTACTACATGGATTCTGGAATTGTCTTCAAAGAATCTAGATATTTTCCTTCGGCAGTATTAGGTAGTCATGAGAGTTCTTATATCCTGTAACAGAGACAATGCACCCTTCTACCAAGAAAGAACATCAGGGCCCTCAAAGCCCCAAAGTACACCCTAGGCTAAAGGGCCTCTCCCCACTCCCCACAGGGTAGTAATAGCAGGGAGGTACTGTGAAAACCCTGTTCTAGTGTTTCTTCTATATGTTGACCAAGAGGTTTACTGTATCATATTAAGGCTTGAACTCTCAGTGCTTCTCAAATGTGGTCAGGCCCAATTTTGTCTGATTTGGTTTGGTTTTGTCTAATTTCAAATCCTTGTGGACACGTGATCATTTTGTAACACATGGTCAAAATGTCACAGCATTTTCAAATTGTTTCAAGTGAACGTAAATGTTTACTCTCAATTTGTCTAACTGATCTTGTTGCAAAGCTGTAATGATGATAAGCACGCAAACCAGACCACACAGGGTAACACGGCACTCAACTGTACTGATCCTTGCACTTTTTCTTCTCTTACATCTTCTGCAAATTGCCGGGTTGTCAACAGCATCCCTACTAATACCCTCTCCTCTTTTTCTTTATTCTTAAATTGACCTTTGGCTTCAGGAAAATATATAACAACAGTATTTGTACAACTTAAATGGTTTGGGATGAAAATAAAAACCTGAGTCCATACAGGTAAGTATTTTCAACATATGGGGTGTGCCCAGGCGAAGAGAGGATATGCCTGATAAGGCTAGAGCACCTAGATGTAAAAAGTTTGAAAGGTGTTTTTGTTTTTGGTTTTTGTCTGTCTAAAGTCTCTATAACAAAATTATCTCTTAATTATATCAATCCTAATCATAATCATGGATATTAAAATAATCCTGAAATAGTATTTGATGGTTAAATTCCTGCCAATACTGGTATATGAACTCTTTCTATTTTCATTTATTTGTCCCTGTTGTTCACTGTAAGTCATTTCAAGACTTAAACCACTCTCAACAGATACCTATAATATGCTTTTGCAACCACAAGCCATAAGACTGGAAAAGAAAAAAGAAAACCCCTATGCTTAACATCTCCATCATATCCATTATGTTTAGAAACGACTTTAACCCTTCCTCCAAACTGTTATTTTTCATTTCTACAAATTCTTCCTGTTTATAGTTAGTGTTGGTTACCTGACTCATAGGGGAAAAAAATCTTTATATCATATTCATTCCCTGTAATGAGTTATTTGATAATAGTGCCTTTCATATTTGGTTATTATCTGAATGTGACATTGCTATAATTTAGAATAGCATTTCCAGTTCTTTATAAAATTCTTTTTGTATAAGAAAGTATACTCCCTCTCGAGGCCTTTCCCAAATAATTTATAGCTTTATATAAAATTTTCTTTGTATACATTTTAATTGAATCTATTTTTCTTTATGTATTTTAATTTCTTCTAGTGGTCATAAAGCTGGAATCTGTACAGAAGAAATCATGCCAGACCATAACATGCAGATTTATAACATCAAGTGGCATCTCATAATTTGACTTCATTTGAAAAATAAAGGCAATACTCTGTCATTTCAGCAAAATAAATGCAGTGCAACCATGTAACATCCAAACCACAGGGTCTAGAATTTTATTAAATCCCATAATTCATTATCACCATTTTTTTTCCTGTGGTAAATTTGGGATTTTCTGCTTTTTCAACGAAAAATAAAATATACAGGTCCTTAAAAATTATATACTCCTGTTTAAATTTTTGCATGGAAATATATCACCTATCTAAAGATTTAGAATTATGCTTTAACAAAGGGGGAAAAGATATTTTCCCTGCTGTATATTTATAACGACTTTTGTTTAAATAAAATGTTTAAAATCTTTACACAGTCCCTAAGTTTATTTATTTTGAGAAAGAGAGAGTAGAGGAGGGGTAGAGAGAGGAGAGAGAGGCTCCCAACCAGACTGCACACTGCGAGGGCAGATCCCGATGTGGGGCCTGAACCCATGAACTGTGAGATCATGACCTGAGCTGAAACCAAGAGTTGGATGCTTAACTGACTGAGCCACTCAGACTCCCCAGAAAGAGTTTTAATATAACTAAAGCCTATACTATATCTCCATACTGCAAATGAGCTATCATGTGATTAAAATTTTCATTTAAGGTAAAATTTAAATACTGAATTAAATTTTACTTTTATGTATAAATAATAATCACATCTATCTTTGTAAAATGCTGTCTTAATTTCATAAGTAATTTCTAACATGCAAATAGAATTATCACAATTATTTTATAAACAAAGTACTGACTCCTGAATTAATAAAAACATTATATTTGATAACTGATTTGCAGTTTCCAAAATAAAATTTAAAGTAAAGTACAGGGATGGGTCACCTGGGTGGCTCAGTCAGTTGAGTGTCTGACATCAGCTCAGGTCATGATCTCGCAGTTCAAAGGTTCCAGCCCCACATCAGGCTCTGTGCTGACAGCTCAGAGTCTGGAGCTTGCTTCAGATTCCGTGTGTGTGTGTGTGTGTGTGTGTGTGTGTGTGTGTCTCAAAAATAAATAAACATTTAAAAAAATAAATACATAAAGTACAGGGAATTCTTATTCTGGGTTAAAGGAAGTTATTGGAATTATGCTTTCACAGTAACAACTAGAAAACAGGACAAAATACTAAGAACAAAATTTCAGAAATTAGGCAAAAGTCAAAAAGGGCTGTGATCTCTAAGAGAGCAGAAACAAAATGAATCCCATTTACTGCCTGGAGAAGTGTTCCAGATCTTGATGCAGAGAAGAGGACCATAAGCAGAGCACAGTAGTTTTCCTGAGGTAAAGATGAACTCTGAGGAACAAAGATAAGAATTCAGGAATCTTGGGGTAACTGGAAGTTGTAGGGCCAAATTCCAGAAAGTAAGGAACTACTCAAAGTACTTTGTAGATCTGCAATGGCTTGTATTGAGTCTTTGTTCAATGCTAAACTGCATATGCATACGGTGAAACTCAAAAAGATCATACCTGTTTACTCTCTGTCTACTATCAGTGTCCAATGTCTATTATCCAATCAAAATTTCTAGGCATGCCAAGAAACAGGAAATTGTAACACATAATCAAAAGTAAATCAGGCCATTGGAAACAGACACAAAATGAAAAGAGATGACAGAATTAGAAGAATTAAACATCTATTATAAATATGTTGGCTGTGCTCAGCAATTTAAAGAAAAACATGAATATAACAAGAATGAAATGAAAGATATCATATTATATTATATTATATTATATTATATTATATTATATTTTACTATTTTATTTTATTTTATTTTATTTTATTTTATTGAGACAAAGACATAGCACAAGCAGGGGAAGAGCAGAGACAGAGGGAGACACAGAATCTGAAGCAGACTCCAGGCTCCAAGCTCTCAGCATGGAGCCCAACATGGGGCTTGAACTCACAAATGGTGAGATCATGACCCAAGCCAAAGTCAGATGCCCAAATGACTGACCCACCCAGGCGCTCCAAATGAAAGATATTATAAAGAACTAAATAGAACTTTCATAACTGAGAAATATCTGAAATTTTAAAATTCACTGAGTGATATTAACAGTATATTAGATGTAAAAAAGAAGTCACTGAAATTGAAGATATAGCAGATATAGCAATAGCATAGTTCAAACTGAGGTAAAGGAAAAAAAAAAAACTAGGAAAATGATTAGCTCCTTGTTGAACTTTGAGACAATTTCAAGTGGTCTAACATATGAATAACTGGGAAGGTCTGAATGCAGGACGATGGGAGTGAAAAAATTCCCAAAAAGTTTCCAAATTTGATGAAAATGAATTTCATGGATCCAAAAAGTTTAATAAAAACCAAGATAAAAACCAAGAATTACCAAATTACCTGATATAATCAAACTGCTGAAAAGCATTGAAAAGAGAAAGAAAAGCATCAGGGGGGACTGGGGCACATTAAATATGGAGAAACAAGTTTAAGAAAACCACAAACCTAATTAGAAACCACGTAAATCAAAAGGACATCTTTAAAGGAAAAAAAAAGTCAACTTCAAGTTTTATATGGAACAAAAATATCCTTTAAAACTGAAAGCAAAAGTACAGAATATTTTCTCCAGAAAAGAAGAGCCAAAAAAAAAAAAAAAATTATTACCCACAGATGCAGGAGACAGTTCTTCAGGTAGAAGAAAAATTATATCAGATAAATTTTTGGATCTTCACAAAACAATGAAGAGCTCTGGGAATGATACATGAGTAAGCATAAGAGAAATTTATTCTACTTTTTAATTAAAAAATAATTGTTTTAAGCAAAATTAACGTATTGTGATATTAATAACATGCAGGGATAAGATGTATGACAATAACAAAGGGTGGGAGAGGATTAATGGAAATACAATTCCATGAAAGCTTCTTCTATTTTACACAAATAAGTACATTGTTTGAAGGGAGACTCAGATGTGTTAAGGAAATGTATTGTAAATACTAGAGAAACTACACACACACAAAGACATATAGCCATTAGTGAAGATAAAAATGGAATGCTGAAAATACATCCAAAGAAGATAGAAAAATAAGCAAAAAAGAAAAAAGAACAGATTTGAAAATAAAGAAAACAAATGGCAAGACTATCAATCCCAAATTGATTATTAGCTACATTAAATGTAAATGGTCTAAGCATTCCAGCTAAAAGAAAGTAGCAAGAACTGTGAAGGATTTGAGACTTTATTTTCATAAGATAAGAGGTCAGACTGTCATACCTTCAAAGATGTTGGCAGAAAACAAAGGACTTTGTTACCTCAAGTACATGCTTACATTGGTTTCCCTTGGTAAGAGGTATGCCCAGGTGAATGCTGTGCACACAGTGGGTTTGTGTCACAGCTAAAGTAACCCCAATCTTATATAAAGAGTTACTAGCAAATCTACCCAACTTTTGTTCTGGAGGGAGACATCATCTCTATTATATCAGAAAGTAAACAAATCTGCTCTAAAGGAGACTATATCTTCCAAGTTTGCTTACTATGCAAACATCCTTGAAAAGATAGTCTAGAACAAATTATATTAAAATCTTTGCTTAGAAAATAGATACATGAAAGACCCATGGAGAATTTTCTTCCAATAGACAGAGATTGTCAAACTGAGTTTTTAAAATGCAAGAACAACTACAAACTATTAGAAACACACTATGTTTATAAATATTAAAAGGTTTAAAAATTAAATATATACAATGAAAACAAAAATCTTAAGAAAACTCGAATGACTATATTAACATAAATTGGTTGTCAGAACAAATAATATTATCAGTGCATAGATGAACATTTTATAATGATAAAACGTTCACACAAAGACATAATCATCATAAACATATGCACCCAATATCAGAGCATCAAAATATGTTAAGCAAAAACTGGAAGAATTCAAAGAATAGACAAATCCACAATTATAACTGAAATAGAAACATTCGTCGCTTAGGCAAATGATGTGACAAATAGAAAATCAGCAAAGACATAGAAGACTTAAATCACACTACCAGCCAATAATCTTACTGATATTCATAGAATATTCCACAAACATAAACAGAACACATATTCTTTCAAGTACACCACAGAACACTAAAATAGACCATCTGCTGGGCCATAAAGTAACTCTTAGTGGATTTCATAGGATTGAAGTGATAAAGAATATGTTCTTTGACCAGAAAATTAAAACAAAAAACTTTTACAATTAAATTACAGAATATAAACATACCATAATACGGACAAAAGATTTGAACTATTTCTAAAAAGATACACCAACAGCCAAGTTGTACATGAAAAGGTGAGAAATGCAAACTGATACCACTCTATACACCCATTTGAATTGGTAAAATTTTAAAAGCTGACTGTACCAACTTTGGCTAGGATAAGAAACAACTGGTAGTTTCTTATACCATTGCTATGAACGTAAATGGAACAAGCACTGTAAAATTCCTAACAGTTTTCCATACATGTGAAATATGACCCAGTTATCCCACCCACATGTTCACTAAAGAGAAATAAACATGTTCACACAAGGAATTGCACAGGAATATTTATAGAGCTTTGTTCATGACAGCCTCAAAATGTACATAGCCCATTAAGTCCATGGATAGGAAAACTGATTGTTAAAATGTGGTATATCTACTTATCTTGATGAGCACTGAGTAATGTACAGAATTGTTGAATCACTTCATGGTACACTTGAAACTATTACACTATGTTAACTAAACTGGATATAAATGGAATGAAATGAAATGAAATGAAATGAAATGAAATGAAATGAAATGAAATGAAATGAAAAAGATATGTCTACAACACTGGAATATTATTGAAAGAACTTACACACACATAACATTGATGATCTTTAAAAACTTTATCTGAATGGAAAGAAGTTAAAGCACATATGATATTCCATTTATCTGGAACTCTAGAAAATATAGTTAACCTATAGGGAGAGAAAGCAGTGTTTACCGCAGACATAAATGGCAGAATATCCCATGTTCATAGATCAGAATTAATACTGTTAACATGTCCATACTACCAAAAGCAATCTACAGATCCAATGCAATCCCTATCAAAATTCCAATGTCATTTTTCACAGACATAGAAAAAAAATCTTAAAAATTTGAATGAAACCACAAAGAGCCTGAATTGTCAAAGCAATCTTGAGAAAGAACAAGGCTAGAGTCATCATATTTCCTGATTTCACACTATATTACAAAGCTATTGCAATCAAAACAGCATGGCTTGTCATAAAAATAGATGTAAAGATCAAGGGAGCAGAATAGAAAGCCCCCAAATAAACCCACATACATACATACTATCAGTTAATTTTTGACAAAGGACCCAATAACATATAAAGGATAGTCTCTTTAAACTTTTTTTTTCTTCTTTCAGAGAGAAAGAGAGCATGGCAGGGCGGGGGAGAGGAGCTCAAGGCAAGAGAGAGAATGAATGCCAAGCAGGCTCCACACACAGCTCGGAGCCCCATGGGGGACTCAGTCCAAGAAACCTGGGATCATGACCCGAGCAGAAATCAAGAGTTGGCCATTCAACTGAGCCAACTAGGCACCCCAAGGATAGTCTTTAATAAATGGTGTTTGGAAAACTGCACAGCTACATGCAAAAGAACAAAAATGGACTTTTTAACACCACACACAAATATGAAGTCAAAATGGATTAAAGACTTGAACATAAGACCTGAAACCATAAAACTCCTTAAAATAAAAAACATAAGCAGTAAGCTCCCTGACTTTGGTCTTGGTGATATTTTAGATTTGACACTAAAAGCAAGGGCAACAAAAGCAAAAATAAATGTAACTACATCAAACTAAAAAGCCACCTGCACAGCAAAGGAAACTACAAACAAAATGAAAAGGCAAGCTATGGAATGGGGGAAATATTTGCAAATTACATATCTGATAATGAGTTAGTATCTAAAATACACAAGTTAAGTCCAACTCAACAGCAAAAAGCAAATGACCCAATTAAAAAAAGGTCAAAGAACCTAAAAGGACATTTTCCCCACAACATACAAATGGCCAACAGGTCCATGAAATGGTGCTCAACTCACTAATTATCAGGGAAATGCAAATTAAAACCACAATGAGGTATGAACTCACACCTCTACTATATCTATTTCCAAAAAGACAAGTTATAATTGCTGGCAAGGATGTGGAGAAAAGGGAACCCTTGTATGCTGTTGCTGGGATTGTCAACCGATAGAGTAACCAAGGAAAACATGATGGAAATTCTTTGGAAATTAAAATTAAAATTACCATATATATGATACAGGAATCCCACTTTGGGATCTATAGACTACAGAAACCAAAGCATCGTCTGGAAGAGGAATCTGTAACCCCATGTTCATTGCAGTAGTACTCACAATAGCAACGTATGGAAACAACTTAATCTGTCCATTGACAAGTGAGTAAAGAAAAGGTAGTTTTTCTATTTTTCTCTCTCCCTCTAGCTGCCCAAACTCAGCAAGCTTTTCCTGGCGTGGAGGCCTTGCCTGCTTGCCTGCCACCCTAGCACTCGCCAGGAGGAGCTGTGCTGAGCGCGGTGGGGAATTGCCTCTAGAGGGCGGTAGGGAGAGGCGGGGTGGTGGAGTGACAGGCGGGGGGGGGCGTTGTAGCGGAGGAGGGGTGGGGCGGGGCGTTGCCGCAGAGGGGCGGGGCGGAGCCGAGGCGCCGGGCAGGGGTGGGAGCGGGGCGAGCGCCGCGAACCTGGAAAGCGGATCTGACCACGCAGTTCGCACTGTCAGGTCTGGGCGGGCCCAGAGAGGGACCCCCTAGCCGCTCTCCCCATGGGGATGTGTTTTCCCTGTCCGGGGGAGTCCGCGCCTCCCTCGCCGGACCTGGTGAGTAAGGCCGCGTCCCCGCGTCCCCGGGTTCCCGTGTCCGCCTACCCGCGCCGCGCGCACCTGTTCTCCGGAGGTGCGCGTCGGAGGCCGCGAGCTGGGGGCTCCCGGGCTGGCCGTTGGGCGCGGAGGCGCGGACCGGACAGCTCGCCGGTGGGTCTCTGCTGGCGAAGACGTGTGGACACGCTCCGAGGGACCTTGGGTCTGGCCGCGGACCACAACCGCCGCCTCCGTGTCGGTCTCTCCACTTCCGTTACAAAAAATTGCCCAAAGGCGGCTCCGGAGTCTGTTTACCTTTCGCAGACTTGGGGGAAATTGGGAGTTCTTAAGGACGCAGGCGTACGCAGACGGTGCGGTGTGTGGGCCATTCTTGGCGATGCGGTGGATGAAGTCAGGGTGCAACTGAAGTTCTTAAGCTAGGCGATGTGCGTTTTCTTGTGTCTGTACCAACTGTATAAAGAAGGTGCTTAATAAAATCTCTTACGCTCCTGTACTCTGTTGGATATTATAATAATCAGCTATTTCCCATTACCATTTTATCTCTTTATTAATTTCTTCTTTTTTAACAATAAGGATTTTACGTAGTACGGAATGTAGAGTTTGTAACTTTGCCACATCTAGTAAATAGAAATACAGAAGGCCCAGTTAAATTTGAATTTGTAGATCAAAAAAATATATATTTTAAGAATAGGTGTATCTCATGCAATATTTGGGACATATACTAGAAATTATTCATTGTTTAGCTGAAATTCGTATTTAAGTGGTTTGTGGTACATGTCATTTATACCTTTTGTAGCTTTCTATTTATAACAGTATCTTTACATTAATAGTCCTTACAGGTTGTTGATAATAGAAAACCTAAATTACTCTCTTCTTCTACCTAAAAATTCGTTGAAGGAAGTAAGGTGTTTGGGGAAGTACATTAACTCTTCAGCCATTTGATTATAGGTACTAAAAATGATCTGGAAGTTGATATGGGAAAATTTACCTTGTCTTTCTTGCTAATGTTGCTTTTAAATGTTGTTAATTTTGTTTATTTGGCTGTTGGTAAAATACCAGTATGCCAGCATTTGTTAAGCCCTCCCCGCTATCCCCACAGATAAACACATGGTTCACTACTGGAATGTCACTTTATCTTTGGGGTTTATCCAGGACCTCCCAAAGTAAAATAGATCTCCCACTATACCGCCTACCCACCCTTCCAATTCTTAATCACCATACTCTTCTTTGTATTTTCTCAAAGCACAACTATTTAACAGACATGTTAAACAGACTTGATTATATTTAACTGTGTGCCTTCACTGGAATGTAAGTTCCATGTGGTTGGAAACATTTGTCAGGTTTTTTTACCACTGCATCCTCAGCACCTAGAAAAGTTCCTGGGGGATGATGGTTGCTCAATAAATATTTGTCCAGTGAATGAATAAATATATGTATTGTGGTAGGGTAAACAAAGAAATTATTAACACAGCTGCCAAGGGAATGCTGCTTACTGTCTTATATATTTAAGGAATTTATAATTTATAATTAATAATAGTAATACATGATATAAAAAGTAATGTTCAGTGTGTCCCAACATGGAGCAGTACCTCTTAAAATTTCCTTCAGGGCTTCATGTCCTACACAATAAGATTAGCCTACTTCATTCATGACTGTTTCCTGAAAATACCACCTACCTCAAACCACATGTTTCCTTTCTCGTCTTATTAAATGCCATTTGTTTTATTATTATACTGACTAGCTTGTAAGCCTTAAAAAAAAAGCAAATATATTATTTTATAGCACAACCTGAATATATATAATATATATGCGTTTATAATACATGTTACGTATATGTGTCTTATGTGCTTATTTGAGGGTATATCGGTTTGGAGAATGAATTTCAGGAAGTTAAGTATTTCACAAATATTGTAAATAGTGGCAGTCTTAGTGGGACGTTTTGAACGAGTACTAAATATTTTTGTAAATTGGTTTTATATATATTGGTTTATAATATATAAATTATCCATGATGTTTGGTTTTATTTTACAACATATTTTTACACACAATTTCTTTAGGAAGAGAAAAGAGCAAAGCTTGCAGAGGCTGCAGAGAGAAGACAGAAGGAGGTAAGAGTAGAAATAAAATTCTGCCCACATAGGGGTGCTGGGGTGGCTCAGTCAGTTAAGCATATGAGTTCGGTTCAGGTCTTGATCTAACGGTTTGTGAGTTCAAGCCCTGCATTGGATTCTGTGCTGACACCTGAGAGCTTGGAGCCTGCTCTGGATTCTGTGTCTCCCTCTCTCCCTGCCCCTCCCCTGCTCATGCTCTGTCTCTCAAAAAATAAATAGTAAAAAAAATTTTTTTAATAAAATTCTGCCCACATAGATAATTGTGTTCTTTATTCTCAATAGATGTTTATTACTAGTATTCTGTAATGAAAATTGTGTCTGATATCCTATAAGTTTATATATAATCATTTTTTAAATGATTTCTATATTTCTATAACATACATTAATGCATTTATATCATTTAATGCATGAAAATTACTGTACAGATGTCTTCTGTAATGTGAGATGCCCCTTTAATAAAACCTTCTTCCTTGGGATAAAGTGACCATACTTTATAAAGCACTGACAGATGTCAAGTTAAGTTTAGGGGAAAAATACCCAGTGAAGAAATGATGCTTTATGCAAAGCTTCTATAGAAGTAGTCTAATTCTTTGTTACCACAAATAAAACTCTCTTCCAAAGAAAAACCTAAAAAGCAACAAACAAATACCTTTTGGACACCGGATGCTAATTTTTGTTGTTCTTCTAAACCATTTAATACATTTTCTAAAGGCTGCATCTCGGGGCATTTTGGATGTTCGGTCTGTGGAAGAAAAGAGAAAGAAAAAGGAAAAAATAGAAAAACAAATTGCTACATCTGGGCCCCCACCAGAAGGTGGACTTAGGGTAAGTATTAAAATTTACTTACAGTTTAATTTATTTGGAATGTGAAAAAAATGTCAGTAGCAATCTATTCAATAGTTTCTTCTTGAAATGGATTATCAGCAAATTTTAAATTAATTTAAAAGCATAAATAAATAGATTGGAAGAAGTGCCAATTTATGTGGACATTCCAGCATTTCCAAAAATGAAAATAGATTGTTTTTCCTGATTACCTTAGCACTATATTTTAATATTTTGTATTTATATGATTAATAACAATATATAGGAAACTTACTATGGAAGAGTATAAAGAAGAACATAAAATTCACCCCAATTCAGTGTCATTTTGACAGACCTCATTTCTAATCTCCATTTGTACATCAATCTTAATTGAATTGGATTACACTATAGATTCCTTTTTTTTTTTTTTTAAATAACCTACATTTTTTTTCACTGAGTGATTTGAGGATTTTGAGCTTTTCATGGTCACTCATTATCATAGTTCAGTAAATGTCAGTTTGGACAATAGACTATACGGGGTGAGTGTGACATACACACCTCCCACCTCCCAACGTAGCAATTGCAGCTCTTGACATGGAAATACAATGATGGACAAGTTAAACAGGACCCTGAACTTGAGGATCTTTACAGTTTTCTATAAAGGTTTTCTAGAAAGGTTTTATTTTACATGTTAAAGCACAAGAAAATATTGTTCAGATACTAAGATTTTATTCTTGGGGCGCCTGGGTGGCTCAGTCGGTTGAGCGTCCAACTTCAGCTCAGGTCATGATCTCACAGTGTGTGGGTTCAAGCCCCGTGTCAGGCTCTGTGCTGACAGCTCAGAGCCTGGAGCCTGTTTCCAAACCTGTGTCTCCCTCTCTCTCTGCCCCTCCCCCAAGTCTCACTTTGTCTCACTCTGTCTCTCAAAAATAAATAAATATTTTAAAAAATTAAAAAAAAAAGATTTTATTCTTTGGTCCATTTTTACAGGAAATAAATTTTTCAAGTAAGTGTTTTTGTCACAAGGACAATGTCCTGAATTTCAGTCATTTATATCTAACTTGTCAATGATTTATTAGCACTTATTTAGCTGATTTACTGTCTTTGCAATTCAGTTTTTTTGATTTTTAATTTTTTTAAGTCGAGTTAATATAGTGTTAATTAGTTTCAGGTGTACAACATAGCGATTCAACATCTCTATACATTTTGCTGTGCTCATCACAAGTGTAGATACCATCTGTCACCATACAATGTTATTACAATAGCACTGAGTTTTTTGGGGGAGCTCTTAAAACTATATATAAATACATACATGTATATATCCTCCTATCCCGTGGGGCCGGCAGTTTAGAAGCATCCTGAGAAGAGGTGCTTCTGGCTCAGGAATATCATGCAGAAGTAAGATTTATCTGTGTGTATTTTACCATTGTATATTAATTCATCTAGTTTTGTTTAGTCAATGAAAGTAAAAGAAAATATGATTGTATCAACTTTTAACAGTGTATAGAATAATTGGTTTCAGTCTTAAGGTAAATAGCTGTGACTGTTGTGCTTATGTTTTTTATATACCTGCACAATAGAAGAGAATAAATTTTCTGGAAAGTGAAACAGTTGGTTGATACAAAGTCAGGATATTTATCAGAAGTATAGATGTTTGCGTTCATTACTCTACTGAGATATAAGTGTATGCCACCAGGTTTATTTCATAGAAGTTTCTCAAAAACAATAACAAAAATTGTGAAAATTAAAGTGTGTGGCCAGAAATTATGCTGAATTTCAGTGTTTCATAATAGAAGAAATGGGGGTATTGAGTGACAATCAAAATCACATAATGTTATAAGAAAAAGATACTTTATATATAGTCAGAGTTAAGAAGGTATTTATTTGACATATTCTAATCTAATAAATTTAACATCAGCTTTTAAACTCTAAGAAAGAAAGTAGCTTTCTTTTTTTTTTTTTTTT